AGGCTGACAACCTCACTGCCATCTGTGAGCCGATTATCTAGAGAAAATGTGGAAGCCTCGACGTTTCACAATCCTATTGGCCTTCAGGGCCTGTTACAGGGATAGCTTTACATTTTCTTTTTACCAGTACTATGTCAATGTGAGTGCAGACAACTCCTGAAACGTCGTGAATATCAGACGTTTGTTATACAAGGAAAACACTGAAAATAATTGTGGGATAACAATGACTGCCTTTGTTTATATTTCTGTTCGATTCCTGTGGCGACAACTCTTTCATCTGCAATATGAAATGTGTTGCGGGTGAACTGTCTTGAAGAACCTTAGAAAAGCAAGTAAAAATAGCCGCTACTTAACCTATTCAAAGAAGCAGAGGAACTGGAAGTCGTTCAGGTTGTCTATGGACACTCTTGAGACAATTAAATCTAGTCCATGCGCTAACACCCTGTTTTGCTAATTTTCATTTTAATATCTACCTTCCATCGAAGTCCAGTTCTCCCTAATTGCCTCGTCTATTCTGATTTTCAGACCATAATGTTATATGCATTTGTGACCTGCTCTCACCTGTTACATGTCCCACATCTGATCCACCGTGTTTTAATTCCCTTACCAGTATTAAGTAAATAGTGAAAATTATTGTGACATGTTAACGCAATGCCAGGCAACGGCTTGATAAACACCCCACGGCACGCGCACGCAACAATAAGACGAATATTTATAGCTCGTTGCTGGGCGACAGGCAGCACGCCAATGGACTGGCGAGATAGTTATCACGTGGCGTGTTTTCTGTACGTGGTCATGCCGAGAGGATATGAGATAATACGGGATTGGGAATTGACTTCAAAAAAATACAAGAGGCTTAAACTTGGAGGTGGTCAAGCTTAAGACCGTTCAAGTGACTAGGCTGTCGTTGTAGCATAAGATATGTAAGATTCACTTAGTGGGGGGTGGAGTTCAACTGGGTCCACTCGGCCCGGCGGCCACTGATTGGCCTATTGTAGCCTGCCCCGGGTGATCATTATGATGGAGAATTTTGTGGAATGAAGATTGGCAAGGGAAACGGAAGTACTCAGAGAAAACCCGCCCCAGCGCCACTTTGTCCACCACAAATCCCACTTGACCAGACCCGGGATCGAACCCGGGCCGCCGCGATGGGAAGCCAGCGACTAGCCACTTGAGCTATGGCGCGGCCCTAGATATGTAAGAGAGGCGCGAGCTGCTCTGCAAAGCCTGTACTGACAGAGGACTTGTGCGTAGTGCAAAAGCAAGAAATTTTCAATAACATGCTATACATATGTGTGAAATGTGCATTTGACGATAGGCCAAGCATATTCATAGCAGACAAACCCATATTTTTGTCAGAGAGTATTTTACATAAGGACTAATACAGCAAGGGTTCAGTTGGGGGAAAGATCTCTGGACGTGGGTCTCAAGGGGCTTGACGCAAAGACGAACTGATAGGCGGTAAACCGGCAGTCGTAAAGTAACTTCGACTTTGACTTTAACTTTTGAATTGACTTCACTTGAGTTTGAATTTCCAAGGGAACAGCAGTGTGGCCAGAAGAATTACAAGACTTAGTGTGTGACGTTACATGTGCTGTAGTTACAGTAATCTTGAGAGTGTAAGAACTAATTGTAGTTAGACGAGTAAGCATCCAGTAAATCCAATTACCAATCCAACCACGGGTCTCATTCACTGTGATGCACGTGATATTATTAATTTTCTTATTACGTAGTTTTCTTTGTCCTCTTTTAAGGCAGATTTCCCCTCTCGTACTTGCCAGTGTTCTCCTCAACACTTTTTCATACACACTTAATCAAGCCGTTAGCTTTAACACAGGAGCTCTCAGGGTTTATGGTACCATGACCCTCTAAAATAATACATAAATTTATGTGACACACACCAATCATCTGATATGGTTAGCCAAAGCGACGGTTCTGCACGTTTTTGTAGGTCTGTTTCAGTGTGTACGACAGCAGTAGGAACATAAACAGCTTCACAACTTCTTACACTACAATAATATTTGTATATAAAATGTTCCTGCTTTCACGAAGAATTCGCGAAATGTTTCGCTTGCTGCAGATATATTGCTGACTTGCTAAAGTTGTGTGTGGATGTTACTACATCTTAGACATTTCTTGAGAACCTGACTGTCTTAGTTTGAGAACCTCTGCCTCCATGTGAGAGACTATGTTTCTTACTGACAAAATCAGAGCTTTCAGTAAATTATTCTTTATGCTTTAGATAATCCCGGGAAAAATAAAATAGGCAGATTCCGGACTCTTTTTTTTTAATTTACTTAGTGGGGGGGGGGAGTCCAATTGGGTCCACTCGGCACGGCGGTCACTGATTGGCCTATTGTAGCCTGCCCCGGGTGATTATGATGATGGAGAATTTGGTGGAATGAAGATTTGCAGGGGAAACCGAAGTACTCGGAAGAAACCCGCCTTAGCGCCACTTTGTCCACCACAAATCCCACTTGACCAGACCCGGGATCGAACCCGGGATCGAACCCGGGCCGCCGAGATGGGAAGCCAGCGACTAACCGCTTGAGCTATGGCGCGGACCGGACTGAATGTTACTATCAACTTTTATCTGCGAATTCCACTCCTTGTGACGTCAGAAGAAACCTCTAAACCCGCACGTTATGTGTTCTTCCGCTTCCTGGTCTCATGCTAGGAAAACGCTAACCGCTGGTAAAATACAATTCAACAAGAGAAATGTTTTGTATTTTCCGTCCATCTGGATAAGCACAATCCTGTATTTATATTGGCGTGGCATGTTACGCGGCCACACGTGATGATGGCCAGTTAGGCCGAAACGTTTAGTGTTAAATAAATAATAAGAATAGACAACGAGTCCTCGAAGTGTGAATTTCAATATATGGACGGTGAAATAAGAGCGTTAAAATTGGCTTTAAGCCAGACCGAAAACATTTTATTCTGGTGGCCCCAGGAGACCTGTAGGCTGTTGTACTAAATTAATTGAAAAGCGTAACGTCCTCCGTAGTCTAGGGGTAACGTTAAAACCCGGCGGAGGTCGTGGAATTTTTAACGGCAGAAAAATTCACGGAACAAGTCCTCCGGGAGGTACTTTCAGCCGTGGGTTCCGTGTCGTAGATTTACGGCACGTAAAAGATCCTCATGTCTCTAGGAGACCTCTGAGTTTCCAATGCCTCCGGTAGATGGGGAAAGTATCGGGTACCGCTGCCAGAAGAGGGCCGACCTCGCTGGCAGAATGCGGCTGATAGCGAGCACCAGTACAGGAAGGGTATGGCGACAGTAGAAATTAAAGGCGGACGCACAATAGATCAAAACTGGTCGCGGTGCATGGGGAAACCCACCCCCGCTAATAATGAATGAATAATGAATTGAAAAGCATAGCGATTCCATGGCAAAATGAGACAAGACCAACTACTATGTGACTATTTCATTAAAACTTTTAACATGGCTGCTTAATTGTCTACTTACATCCGTTTAATAGCTTAATTGTTGGCTTGAAATTGGAGATATGTTGTGCAAAAATGTAATTAATATCTAGAATCGAAAGAAACTAGTGTTTTCTTTGTAATTATTATTTTGTATAGCAGTAGAGTGCTGAGTGAATCAAGATTAGACATTACGACACATGAATAATGTCTTCTGGCCTAAAATAAGTCGATGCATATATTCAGTTCCCCACTTATCACATGCGCCGACTGGAACATCTGTCACATTTCAGACTTCCCTTGCTATTGTCCCCAGGACTGGGTATCAGGTCTTAAAATCTACATCAGTGTTTCTCAAACGCCGGGCCGCGGCCCGGTACCGTCCCTGGCATCAATAATACCGGGCCCTCGTCTTATAGAAAAGGGAATTGACCGGGTCGCGGTCTGACAAACGTTGAGACCACTGATCTACACTCTAACATTTCAGCAAAATTGTTTCTCTGTGTTAAGTTTAAAGGCATGTGTTGAACTTTATGAAATACACGCTCCGATACGTTGAAGGCACAACAGAATGCTTGCAGTTAGGAAGTACGTGATAATACCTCGTAGAAGCTTCCTGTGTGTTGTCCTGTAAGGATTAAAAAAATCCACGAGAGATTGTGGATTTGATTCAGTCTCCTCTGGATAAATTTCAGTGGCGTGGTTTCTAATGAATCTCAGGGTTCCACATGAACATCTGAAGCTCTTGACCAGCTGAATGATTTTCATCTTCTAAAAGATTTTACTTTATGGGTGCAGTTAGTTAATTAATTAATTCTTCGTAAAATAATAAATTTTCCATCTGCAGTGAAACATGTAGTCCATTCCTACAGCGCTAAGGTGAATCTGTGGACCCGGATAAATTAAGGTCAGACTGAAAAAGGCCTAGGACTACCAACGTCCAAACACTGACACTCCTGGCTAGTCTTGCCATTTACTGCGTTACACTTGTCTGAAACTATTTTTTGGTATTTTTTACTGTTCTCGAGAATATTCTTAAAAATCCCTTATTAAAAGAAGAGCATCGGGATGGAAAACTCCTTGGCCCGTAGTCCGCAAGCGAGCTGTACCGACCGAGCGACCGCCGCTTGTCGGCGAAGTTAGTGGCAACTTTAGCGGATAGAGGATGTCGCGTGGTCAGCGCAACGGATCCCCACGGCCGTTAATTTCGGTTTTCTAGACCGGAGCCACTGTTTCCTTGAAATAGCTCCTCAGTTATCCTCACGAGGCTGACTGGACCCCGTCACACACTCACTACTTCTCAGAAAGTCTGCTAGCGTCGGGAATCGAACCCGGACTTCTGGATCTGTAGTCAGGAATTCTGACCACTAGACCACAGAGGCGGTAAGGTAGCAGAAATAAGGAAGCGAGGGAAGATAGCAATCACACATGCAAATGCTTCAATGTGGGGGAGATGAACATTGCAACGGTTATTAGAGGGTCTCTTCTCTCAAATTAACCAATTGCTTCAATGCTCCGTGAGGTCACCAGCAACTACCATTTACAGGGGATTTTTGACAGTTGCGAGCTCGGCATAGAGGCAGCCAGTGCATCCTAACTTTGTATGTGATGTCACTAGAACGCTATTTCCGGCGACAAGTGCGGACAGGTTCGGTGTACTCCACTGCAAAAAGTACCGGGTATTCATCATTCCACTGCTACAAGTACCGCATGTTCACCAAGTAATTTTGGTGAATGGTATGAGAGGCAGATTCGGCACACTCTACTCCAGTAAGTACTGGGTGATCATAAACTGATGCTGCATACGGGACAGGACACGGTAAATCGAAATTGTACTATTAACAGGGAGTGAACGTTGAATACAATTCGATCTGTTGGTTGAAAAATGAGCCAATTAACAATTTAAGCTTGTTTGTATTCATCTGCATGTTCACTTCATCACAGTCTCAAAACAGCCGTGATTTTGAACTCAAGACATTTCAGGAACGAAATATATTTAAATGATATTTCGTGATTCAGTGCTTACTTCACAGAAAACAAATTTTGCTCCATTGCCAATCAGTGCCGGTTAGAGAAATAACTGGTGTTTGTTCTGAGAATCATAGGAAACATCAGTACATTCTGTGGCAAAATGAAGTATTTGTGACTTTAAGACAGGCGATATACCATGCAATAACCAATATGCTTTGAAGGGCTAACTTCTGGTTACTTTACCCTGCATTTATCTAGATGAGAGACACAGGTTAAAGAGAACCTCCGAATGGGTCTGTCTGTCTACTTATCTATCTATCTATCCACCAGCCCACCTATCTATCTATCTATCTATCTATCTATCTATCTATCTATCTATCTATCTATCTATCTATCTATCTATCTATCTATCTATCTATCTATCTATCTATCTATCTATCTATCTATCTATCTATCTATCTATCTATCTATCTATCTATCTATCTATCTATCTATCTATCTATCTATCTATCTATCTATCTATCTATCTATCTATCTATCTATCTATCTATCTATCTATCTATCTATCTATCTATCTATCTATCTATCTATCTATCTATCTATCTATCTATCTATCTATCTATCTATCTATCTATCTATCTATCTATCTATCTATCTATCTATCTATCTATCTATCTATCTATCTATCTATCTATCTATCTATCTATCTATCTATCTATCTATCTATCTATCTATCTATCTATCTATCTATCTATCTATCTATCTATCTATCTATCTATCTATCTATCTATCTATCTATCTATCTATCTATCTATCTATCTATCTATCTATCTATCTATCTATCTATCTATCTATCTATCTATCTATCTATCTATCTATCTATCTATCTATCTATCTATCTATCTATCTATCTATCTATCTATCTATCTATCTATCTATCTATCTATCTATCTATCTATCTATCTATCTATCTATCTATCTATCTATCTATCTATCTATCTATCTATCTATCTATCTATCTATCTATCTATCTATCTATCTATCTATCTATCTATCTATCTATCTATCTATCTATCTATCTATCTATCTATCTATCTATCTATCTATCTATCTATCTATCTATCTATCTATCTATCTATCTATCTATCTATCTATCTATCTATCTATCTATCTATCTATCTATCTATCTATCTATCTATCTATCTATCTATCTATCTATCTATCTATCTATCTATCTATCTATCTATCTATCTATCTATCTATCTATCTATCTATCTATCTATCTATCTATCTATCTATCTATCTATCTATCTATCTATCTATCTATCTATCTATCTATCTATCTATCTATCTATCTATCTATCTATCTATCTATCTATCTATCTATCTATCTATCTATCTATCTATCTATCTATCTATCTATCTATCTATCTATCTATCTATCTATCTATCTATCTATCTATCTATCTATCTATCTATCTATCTATCTATCTATCTATCTATCTATCTATCTATCTATCTATCTATCTATCTATCTATCTATCTATCTATCTATCTATCTATCTATCTATCTATCTATCTATCTATCTATCTATCTATCTATCTATCTATCTATCTATCTATCTATCTATCTATCTATCTATCTATCTATCTATCTATCTATCTATCTATCTATCTATCTATCTATCTATCTATCTATCTATCTATCTATCTATCTATCTATCTATCTATCTATCTATCTATCTATCTATCTATCTATCTATCTATCTATCTATCTATCTATCTATCTATCTATCTATCTATCTATCTATCTATCTATCTATCTATCTATCTATCTATCTATCTATCTATCTATCTATCTATCTATCTATCTATCTATCTATCTATCTATCTATCTATCTATCTATCTATCTATCTATCTATCTATCTATCTATCTATCTATCTATCTATCTATCTATCTATCTATCTATCTATCTATCTATCTATCTATCTATCTATCTATCTATCTATCTATCTATCTATCTATCTATCTATCTATCTATCTATCTATCTATCTATCTATCTATCTATCTATCTATCTATCTATCTATCTATCTATCTATCTATCTATCTATCTATCTATCTATCTATCTATCTATCTATCTATCTATCTATCTATCTATCTATCTATCTATCTATCTATCTATCTATCTATCTATCTATCTATCTATCTATCTATCTATCTATCTATCTATCTATCTATCTATCTATCTATCTATCTATCTATCTATCTATCTATCTATCTATCTATCTATCTATCTATCTATCTATCTATCTATCTATCTATCTATCTATCTATCTATCTATCTATCTATCTATCTATCTATCTATCTATCTATCTATCTATCTATCTATCTATCTATCTATCTATCTATCTATCTATCTATCTATCTATCTATCTATCTATCTATCTATCTATCTATCTATCTAAGACCGCTATCTGCACACAGAACAACATCAACAGAGAATAAAAGCACAAAGACATCCGTGTCTCAAGTGGGATTAGAGCCCACGATCCCAGTGTTCGAGCGGGCGAAGACAGTTCATGCTTTAGACCGCGTGGCCGCTGTAATCGACTCAGAGTGGGTCACCCTGTAATCAGTTTTGTATGCCAGTCAGCTCGAATGCGCACGAACATACGGCCAACAGGACCAGGGGAGATTCAGATGTTCCGACTGACAACTGTGTGTTGAGCGACGCGGTGAGTTGCAGTTTTGAAGACCTCTTATTGGTGGAACAAGCGGTCAGCTGACTGAGAATTCCAGGCAGTTTCATGTTTACTACACGAAGTATGGGGAGGTATCATCTGTTCACAGTTTTTATCTCCGAAACTATTAACGCATTTCGGTAAACTTTGGAATTTGATGCTTATTCTGAAGTTTTCGAGAAAATATGGATTTTGTTCATGTCGGTCCAAAGTAATCCCTGGTTCACAGACACTTCAAATATAATTTTATCAATTTTCTTAAAGCGACTTATCGTACGGGAACTTTGCCGGTAACTTTAAATATAAAACTCACTGAAGCCCATAACTTTCTTCTGGAACATTTTCCCACAAAGCGAATTTCCACTCTTCATCAAATACGATTAAGATGATTCAATCGAAGACAATAAGATGCTTTGGGATGTAACAATAAATGGGACAAATGTATACAAATATTAGTTCCAAAACATGAAAGGAAGAGAATATTTGCAGACTATGTAAGAAATAGCGTTGAGAGGTGTTTTGAAAAATAGAGTGTGAGGGTGTGGACTGCATTTATCTGGCAGCCTTTGTGAACTCGGTTAACCATTTAAAGCCCAGTGGTTACTATGTACCATATTTTTTTTTAATGCTAGTGGGATGGTACTAAGTCCCTTGCACTGCGGCCACATCTGGCCTATTGTACCAGCCCCAGATGATAGGTGAGGGTGATTGTGGATCGATTGGTGGAATGAAGATTGGCAGGGGAACACGAAGTACTCGGAGAAAACCTGCTCCAGCGCCACTTTGTCCACCACAAATCCAACTTGACCAGACCCGGGCTCGAACCCGGTTCGCCGCCGTGGGAAGCCAGTGACTTAAACAGCATTAATTAGTTGATCTTTGTAGCAGAGACGTACTGCGTTTCCTTTCAGATATGAACTGTTTTTTATATAGCATTTTGATGAAATTCAGTCTTTAAAGTGTTAATACTTTATATTGTATAACAGACGAGGAACTTTCTGACTTATCAACAATTATAACGTTCTCAAAAGTACAATGTTCAATGGAGTTAGCTGAGACATTAAACGAAAACTGGGGAAAGTGATATGTCTACAGATTGTGCTTAATTTTGTATTTGATTGAAAATAATATTATTTGAAATAAATTAAGAAAATCAAGACTAATGAGGTAAGACAATCCAGAAATTCGAGGAAAGTGCTTGGAAAAATATGGGTGCATCAATGTGGCACAATCCAGACAATCTCCCGTGGAACAGGCTAGCTCTGCGTTGTCACAGGAGTTACCACCTGCTTGGTACGCGCCATAGCTCAAGCGGTTAGTCGCTGGCTTCCCACAGCGGCGGCCCGGGTTCGATCCCGGGTCTGGTCAAGTGGAATCTGTGGTGGACAAAGTGGCGCTGGGGCAGGTTTTCTCCGAACTTCGGTTTCCGCTGCCAATCTTCATCCCACCAATTGCTCCACAATCACCCTCACCTATCACCTGGTGCTGGTACAATAGGCGAGAAGTGGCCGCAGCACAAGGGACTTAGTCCCACACCACTAGCAATAAAAAAACCTGCTTGGTGCATTCAGGTTCAAAGCAAGGGTATGTGCTGGCGCCACGGTCCTCGTCTCTATGCAGACAACGAGGCATGAGTCACTCGCCGCTCTTATTGCTTCAAATTGGACGATCAGCGCGCCTGATGACTTTTTGCCAATCCAGCAACCAGCATTAACTGCTTGCCGTCAGCTCGTGACTAACTTGTCTCCTAGTCCTGTTTGCAACAGTCACTTCATTTGACCCTAATCACATGGGACACGTAACCAGTGCTGCTTTTCCCTACTATTCGTGTTATATATATATATATGTGTGTCGTTTTCAAGGCCATTCTAATTATTTCTTGAAGCGTAATCCTTGAGAAGCTAAAAATCCTTCAGCAAGTCAAGAATTTCTTGGTCTTTATGGAAGCCGAATTTTCATTACCGCGTGCACAAGAACCTGACGAAGGACATTATCCTCAGTCACAGTCATACACACGACTTTAATCTTCACCTCCACATCCTGTGTTATTTA